AGTATCGTCTCTACACATGCTTTAAAATTTCCTTACAAACTATAAATCTAAATCCTTTTAAGAAATTATTCGGATGATAATCAAAACATAATCTTCATTTTAACTCAATTCATTGTAATATCGATCCTAACAAAATATCCTAGTCTTCATTTTTAGAATATCCTAACAAAATAACCACTACATTCCGCCCATATTACGTGAACTGTCGATTTCATCTAACATATTGGACTTAGAGGCCATTGGTATTTGTTTAATTTTTTTGAGTAGGAATGACTTTGAGAGTGTGCTTTAGATGACGAACACTAAGCTTATGCAAGAAATTAATTAGCATTCTGAATTGTGTGGGAGTAAATCTTATCAATGTATAGTACATTTAAAGGTAGGAGATTTATAAGTGGTGTTATTTCGAATTGATTGTTAGGCAATCTGGTAATACACGAACTAAATCATTAACACGCAACAAGAAGTTTTTGGAATCTTGCGTGATTATGTAATCATATCTTTAAAATAATTTTCAGAGTGTTCAATAAATAATTTTTAAATTTTTTTTTATCACGATATATCCATGAATAGATCAGTGACGTTGATTATCTTGATTCTGTTTTGAACAATTTTTTTGAAAAATCACAAAAAATTACTTAAACGGGAGACTATTGTTGTCATTAGTTAAATTGATCAATTTATGTCAACTTTTTGGTAGTTCCTAGAATCTCAAAAACAACTTTTTGTGACAATTAAAAGCAAATTTCGCCAAATTACTGCTTGGATAAATCACCTTTCTAATAAAGAAAATCACATTCACTTCATCCCTAAAAATATTCCTTCAGTCTATCTTTTCTAATAATCAAAATTTAATTCACTTTATGCTAAATTAAAATTAGCCGTGAGAAAAATACTAAAACTATGAAAAAATAAATCCAACTTCAAAACAAAACGAAAATGTATATTACCAAAAATACATTAGCAAATATTATTTAAATTGGACATCAATTTATAATTTTGAAAAGGAAACGGAATGATGTAAGTTCATTTCACATGCCATTGACTTGGAAGCAGATTTTAGTATAGTGTTCATGTAGACAATTATTTATTCCATGAGTTTATAAAAGCCAATTTATCATTTTTTTAAACTAAAAAGATAATAACCATCATTCCTTTTTTATTGATATCATAATTCCTATTAATTTGAAAATCATTCTGTATACTTCAGTTTTCTAAGTTGTACTTAGTTGGGTATCTTTTCAACTGCAGGTACACTTATACTATTTCAATGTTTGTAAAAGTTTACTCATTCAAATCACTAAACCATCCAGAAAGCCACTAATAAATTTGAGATTGAGCAATGCACTTTTTTGGCACCAAGATTTGGATTGTCGACAACAAAATCAAATATAGATTTTTGAAGCTGTACTTAGTTGTCTATCTTTTTAACTGCAAGTACTCTTATTATATGTAAAAGTTTGTAAAATAATTTTTAACGAGATTATTGGCTTGAGATATTTGAAAGAATAATTTCATCATCTATGCTTTGGTTTACTTTTGAAAAAAAAAACGATCACAAGCCTAAACAATTCAAGGGATATTTGTTGGTGTTTTTTTTTCTTCCAAAATCAGTTTTGTCTTCTTAATGGTATTTTTGGGACACATGTCATGAATCCAAAAACAAATTAAAAAATTAAAAAACGAAGCTCAATTATGTGTTGTAAATTTTATTGAGTAATTTATTCATTTTACCTATTTACATTAAAATTTAAAGTGGTAATCTTATCCGTAAATCAATGACATAAATCTTATCTTAACAACTTGTAGGTAATCTTATCGGTAAATTATATTTTTTATAAAAAAAAATTGTATTGGTAATCTTATCAATAGTTTATTTTTCTTAAAAAAAATAGTTTATTAATATACGCCTCACCCCATTCTAAGACTACTTTGTAGCTATTAACTTTACACATATCACGTCATAAAACAAAATCGAAAGTTAAGTGCTCATGCATATATCTGGATCAGTCAAGCCACAGGTAAACATTCAAAAAATGATAGAAAAACACCTTAGAGAATTGTGTGAGGTTAATCATTAATTAAACATCTCATTTAGATGGCAATTAATGAATTTTGTATAACATGTTAATTATTAAAATTTGTAAAACAGAAACAATTGTAATCTATGGTGATTTAAAAAAATTCCATCGTAAGATGGTTTAATCTTAACCAATTTTAATTTTTGTTAAATTAGTGTGAAGATTCTTATAATAGAATCACTAACTTACAGAATTAAAAAATTATAAATTATATGGACTTATTATTATCATCAACCCAAGTAGTATTTTTATGGATATTAATATCTCTTATGCCTTCGTTTGGTTTTCCTTCATCACCAACCTTGAGCAACCATTCGGAAAACTCCTAAATCTCAATAACTCAAGATCTCCCGATTACAGAAGTCTCATGTTTTCTGTCAATATCAATATTTCACAAAACTGGCAGAGTGGCGAAGAATTGATTGAAATACCCACAATCTGTTGACTTGATGCCTTAGAAATAATCGGTAAGTTCTGTCTGAAATCATATTCGAATACTGTTACAATTCCTCCAAATGGATGTCTTCGTATTCCAGAAGTAAAGAAACAACTTAAATCTGTCAGCATCTTATTAAAAAGTCAAAGTAATATCAGGGAGTTTTGCTATGACAATAACTTAAGTGAGAGTTTAATCCAAGTAACTGAATAAGGTTTGCTATCTTGGTTTGAAACTTTTCAATTAATTGGATAATATATTTAGTATATTTGATGTAATGATTAAAGCTTTTTTTTTAAGATTAATCGCCTAACTAATTTAATCGGCTATAGAAAATTGAACTTAATTTTATTCAGAGGGAAAAAAATTTAATACTTTTAGAACTCTACTCTAAGACATAGTTTCAAGAAAACAACTTTTGTATCGAACAACTAAGATAAGAAACATAATTTTCTTTTACATCAAAAAGTTGGTTAGGAATTTTTCCCTTGGATGTATTCATTTAAAACCTATAGTATTTAATTAAAGTAGCAAATAAAAAGGACATGTGTCAGCACCACAATGAAAATTTTCCCGCCAAAAGTCATTTTCAATACAAAATCATTTTTGACATGTGGCACTCTAACTAATCTGAAAAAAAAGATAGAATAAATAAATACATAAATTCCTTACTTATAGCTACATAAAAATATCTTAATTATAGGTATATACTAATCCTTTAAAACAACAATATTTAGTAGATAAAATCAAATTCTAGGAAATCCCCTTAAATCAAGTGAAACACCAGTAATGTCTTCCCAATCTCCAATTTCAAAGAATCTCTTCCATTCCGCTCCTTTCTCACACCCAGGCCTTTAAATTAATTACTTAAAATCTGACATCAATTATCAATCCATCTCTTTCTACAACAGAGAAAAAATAAGCTGTCATGAAAAAAATTTGATTTTTTAAGGATGATTTTTTTTATTCTTCTGTTGTAGATATTGGTTCATGATTTATGTAAACACGGGCATAAGTTAACTGTTATAAATTAAATGTTGTAAATCTGGACATAGATTTATGTGTAATAGCTCACTTTCTGTCCTTTAAATCAATTTTTTATTCTTCTAATTTTTTTTATTCTTTTAAGAATAATTCGTATTTTTTATTTAATCAATTTAAAAATACAGGCGACACCCCGGGCATTCGCCCGGGGCAAGCATCTAGTTTAAAATTATAAATCTTATATGGAGCAAAAAGAGGTAAAAGAAAACTAAACATTTGGCAGCATAATTCTTATGATATCCTCGAAAAACAAATTTTGTAGATCAAAATCAAACCTTAAAGATTGGGAAACTATTTGACAATAGTTTAAATAAGTTCTAACATATCACATAATACAACAACGATTGAAAAGGGTTAAAATATTAATTTTTAAAATAAAATCAATCAGATAATAAATCTATAGTACTTAATTAAAGCAGCAAACAAAAAGGACATGTGTCATCACTACAATGAAAATTTTCCCGCCAAAAGTCATTTTCAGTACAAAATCATTTTTGACATTTGGCACTCTAACTAATCAGAAAAAAAGGGATGAAATACATAAATAAATAAATCCCTTAATTGTGGCAACATAAAAATCCATTAATTATAGATATATAATAATCTCTTAAAACAATAATATTGAGTTGATAAATATCAAGTGAAACAACACTGCCACTCAATCTCAAATGATCTTTTCCATTCCGCTCCTCTCTCAGACTCGGGCCTTCAAATCAACTACTTAAAATCTGACATCAATTATCAATTCATCTCTTTCTACAACAGAGGAAAAAGAAGCGGTCATGGAAGAAAATTTGATTTTTTAAGGATGATTTGTTTTTTTTTTTCTTCTGTTTAGATATTGGTTTATAAGTTATGTAAATCCGGGTATAAGTTAACTGTTGTAAATTAACTGTTGTAAACCCCGACATAGGTTTATATGTAATAACTCAGTTCCTGTCCTTTTAATTAATTTTTTATTTTTTTATTTTTTATTCTTTTAAAGATAATTTATTTTTTATTTAATCGATTTAAAAGTAAAGACGGTAACCCGGGCATTCGCCCGGGGCAAGCATCTAGTTTTAACATTATTACGTTTAGGATAAATCGGATTGAAGTGTAAAAGGTAATTTAAAAAATTAAACACTAAAATTTACTACATCTAATTGAGTTGGATTTTCCAAATTTTAAAAATCGGTTAACATGGTCATTTAACATGGGCATTTAGCGCAGAAAGAGTACTACTTCTAATCCGAGTGTAAAGTAATCCTATTCAATTGGAAATCGGAATGGAAAGTAGATAACTTTAAGTAATTCTTTTCTGTATATTACGATACAATATGTGGTAATTTGTACATCTATAAATAGACCTCTGTTGATAACATAGGAAATATACAAGTACATTCATTATCTTCAGTTCTATACATACAGCTGATCCTGCTGAGTGCTGATTCAATCCACTATGCCCCACCTGATTGATTTCTGTTGTGCGTTTGGGCCATCTGAATTTCACTAGTTTCAGACCGAGCGACACTCATGGGTCTCCTATTTGATTCAGCACTATCATCTTCACTTTGTCCTGCCGGAATATCGACATTGTTGTTCACAGTTTCAGGGTTCTCCCCTGTTCCTGGCAACTCATTTGAGCCGTTTTCTCCGTTGTTGTCAGTAGCTTCATCACTGGATTGAGATGAATGTTCTTTTGCTTTACCGCCTCCAAACATATGTAAATTCGACCACTTATGGCCGCTATTTGATACTGTGGAGGTGATATTTTGCCCAACTGAGGTCTTAGAGAAGAAAACTGCTAACATTGTAGCTGAAATGACAATGATGAAGAGCCCTCCAAAGTTATAAGCTGTTAGACTTGGATTCTCTTGGTTAATTGAATCGAGATCAGTTGGATATCCTGGTCCAAAATTCTTTTGCTCAATTCCTGCCATAACTGAACTTTGTGTTACAGTTAGTATTGCCCTGGAGAAGTAGCTGACCAGTGGGGAGCCCATTGGAAATGCCTGATTAATAATCAACCAAAAAAAACACGAAAATGTTAAATTTATATGAAAATATCCAAGACGGTAAAAGGGATTTTCGAAAGAGGAAGAGAAAACTCACAAATCCGAAGCCATCTGTTTTGTGTGTCGGTCCGACTATCCTGTATTGTGAACCGTACCTGTTGAGTATGAGCTTAACATAAGGGATTTCTGCATAAATTGCATCAATGCCACCCTTTTTACTTCCTAGACTCATTGCATCATGGTACTCTTGGATTGTTGTGTAGTTCTTCAGCTTAGACTCAGTCAAGTTCAGTTCGTTAATCAAGAAGTCTCTCACAAAAGAACCGCTCTGGTAGCCAACATTAAAATCAGTTGAAAATGCAAAGTTCAACTGATCAACTGTGAAAATTGAAGACAGTTTCGCTGTGTAACTCTGCATCAGTATATACGCCACGAAAAGCCATACAACCAACACGAACCTTGACCACTTGTTAGCCACCATATTTCCTGTCAAAGAAGGCAAAGTACCACAGCATATATAACATGAAAAATGGTTTTCAGCAAAAACAGGTACATAGAATTTAAGGGAACAGTTAGTCCTTACTTTCAGGAAAGGCAAGAACCGCAATTGGAAGCCAAAAGAACAATCGAAGCTGCTGTGACTGCTGTCCTTGTGGCGTTGATGCACCAACGTCATTAGTATGGCTCTGATACTCCAGGATTCCAAGAACAGCACCGATAAAAATGCAAGTGAAGACAATACTAAGCCAAAGATCCCACTTCAAAGGCTTCAAAAAGATCCACATGTCTATGCTCTTTTTGTTCTTCAGGACCATAACAACTCCTGATTCTGTATACGGAAGAGTAAAGTCGACATATGCAGATTGATTTGCCAAAATTGTGACTGTCGCCCACCACGAAATCATAAGTCTGCCTTATTCAAAAGAAATCAAACATTTTGATTCAGAAGAAAGATAACCAATAAACATTAAGAAAAGAACATGCATACTCTAATGGCATGTACATTAAAAAGATCAGTACGAAAACCTTGTTATGCATTTCATCGAGCATGTCATTGTAACTCCCACCTTTACCTATCTTCAAATAAGGGACAAACTCATAATCAAGCTGAAAGGGCAAGAACTTGAGTGAAGCGAGAAAGATGTCGATAGAAAATCCACTGAAATTATATTGGTGTGTCAACGGATCTTGTTGTATGTTGACAAATTCAGTGAAACCATGTTTCATCGGAACTCCTACTTTGAGCTTTCCAGTTTTAGGAATATCCCAACCCTTGGGTGGAACTAATGTGTCTCCAGGCCACATTATGGCTCTTAAATCTTTCGTGGAAGTAGAATATGTAAGCTGACCTCCTGATGAAGAAGACAGTTCCCCTGATATTCCTCTATCTGGTGACCAATATCCCACTGTTCTATCTCCCGTTCCAATCAAATTAAATATTTCAAATGCTGAAGGTTGTAATTGTCCATCAACTAACTCGAAATCACCTGTCAAGCCTGAAAATTTGGTGTTCAAGAGTTCAGTCAGAATTTTCAGGCCAAACTGGGAGACTTTTATAGTTGAAATGTCACTTCTGTTTTCTTCATGGATTGAATTCAGGAGATCTGACATTGAAGGCATGGATTTCTCAATTGCCGTTGCCAAGCCCCAAATTGTATCATAAGCCCATAAGCCATAAACGTTCAACTCCATAACTGAACTTTCAGGCTTCATCAGAAGTGCATTTTTCCTCCACTTTGCCCTGAACTTCTCCAGGTTGTTAGACTGAGGTACATGAGGCCGAATCCCCACAACGTTTTCCATTGTCGAAGAATCGACAGAAGTCAGAAAGTTAGATAAAGTGTCAGTAATGAACCAGGCATATTCCTTTCTCATCATTCCAGCCCTTCTTGCTAGACTGAACAACCTAAGTCCAAGTCCAATATTCATATGCACCAGGAAAACTCTGGTTTGCTTTGCCATTAATTTGTTGAGTTCATTCGTGATTTCGATATCCTTAGTTGATGCAGAGATAGAGACAATGGAGGCTATCTGAACATCAACTTCCTGGAATGCTTTATTCAGCTTCGAAAGAAAAATGTTTGCATACTCAGTGTCCTCCTGTAGGACAACAACTTGAGACCAATTAAATCCCTGACAAATGGCCGCGAGACCTTTTGCCTGATATAGATCATCTGGAGTGGTTCTGATAAAGTAAGGACTCTGTAGTTGAGGAAAGGTTTGGGTTTTGGCTGTGAAGGAAATGACGGGAACACGAACTCTTTCACCAAGTTGTACAACAAATGTCGGCTCTTTTAACCATTGGGGTCCTATAACACCATGGACTTCCCCATTCTTTAGCATTTCTAGAGCTGCATCAGATTCAGAGAAGCAGTAACAGGGTAAATTGATATTCATGTTCATGCCAAACAGTCAAAGAGCAGGATTAAGAGCAGGTTTTATTTCCATGTTTCACTGATGATCATACTAACCTTAAGTGATATGTGATAATACACAAGTGATAAGCTTATAACCTCTAGATATCATAGACAACATAGAACCATACAAGTTACAATGTATACGTAACAATTTGGTCCCAAACATTTGCATTCACATGATGACAAGAACTACTACATATCTCCAATAAAAAATCTCTGAGTTCTGCATGTTATTAGGCCTTATGAGATACTACATCAATTTGAAGATATAAGAATGAATAACTTATGAAATCATGAAGAAATGGTTTCAAAGAAGCAGTTGAACCTAAACGAACAGACATATTACCTGCAAAATCGACATCCAGCTCATGCTCTACGTTTTTGGTTTGTAAAAACATCCTTGTTTTATAATCCGGATGAGCTGCATAGAAGTCTGAAAGAGCAGTAGATAAACAAATATGTATCATGTTGTCCATTGGCGAATCCAAATTAGAAGAACGCCAATGCGGACAGTAGAATAATCTGACCGAAGAGCTCTTCCATGGTTTTCATCAGTTGCAGCTGCTGACTTTGCTTCCAACATGAAGAAAAACAAAACAAGGAATGCCAAGGAAAAGTGGTGCTTCATTTTTGGCAGTAAGAATGTCACTTTGATGTGGAATCTAACTACAAATCTGTTAATTCCACTGCTTTTTGAAGTTTTACATATTGAGGAAATCTTAGATACAGTCAAGTCAACCATCCCAATATTTCTTTTTTTTTAGTTTGTGAGCAAATCTATCATAATTTCTTTGGAGTTGGATTCTATTCTCTTGATGTGACCATTTAGTTCCAAAAATCAAGCAGAGAAAGCGACAGATCACAGATCTTGATACACTATGGTACTGATTCTGGTAGTTAAATGAAAGGAAAAACCTGCTGTGATGAAAAGGAATTCCAAAGACTTTTTCCTTTTGAAAGACTTGAAAGAGATTGAAATGGTCAATGACTTGTTTAAATGACAAGAAAGATTATTCAATACTTTGATTTTATGATCGGGAACTACATCAGAAACGTAAAATATCTCCATCATTGTCAACCTCGTATGGTTTCCTGGAAATTCATCAGAAGTCAGGACCATATCACTTCACTTTTACTTGTAATGCAAGTAAAAAACGGCTGAAGTTCATGAGCTCATTTGTTAAATGACTTCATTTGTTTGTAGTATGATTGAATCTCTATCTAGGATAGGTGGCTTCAGGTTGTTATAGTCACTTGAAATCGACAAATTTACAGAAAAAATTAAAAAGTAACACACTGGTAAAGGATCAATCTTAGCAAGTAATTGGCATGTCAAAACCACCTCAGTTTCTGAGAAATTCCCTAAACATTTGTTTGATTTTGACATTTACAGTACTAGTCTATTCCCTCCGTCCCAAAATAAGAATCTTGTTTGTTGCCTCCAAAAAGTATCTATCTTTGTGGCTTCTAAGCTTAATTACACCTTCAAGATCAAGATTCCCATCCATTTTTGCACTCTGATTATAGAGTGTTTCATAAGCACCTGTATAGTGCTAAGTGCTTGCAGTCAACATTCATTTAATTGCTTCCGAATTTGAGGTTTCAGAAAATCACAATTGGAGTTGGTTGATTTAGAGTCTTGAAATCAGTGATTTCCAATTGAAAAATATCAAGTTGATGATAAATACTACTTGGTGTATCGCTCATGACCGGGAAATTCTCAAGTCAACTCTTTCCTATTTTTTTTCCCCTTTCTTTCAATTGGCGTTGGTTGATTTAGAATCTTGAAATCAGTGATTTCCAATTGAAAAATATCAAGTTGATCATAAATACTACTTGGTGTATCACTCATGAACGAAGACTTTCTATTAGTATTTTGTTTAGAAATAAAGTACTCCCTACGTCCTAAAATTATTGTCCAGTTTAAATTTTCTTTTTTAGTGTAAATTAAATTAAAATTAAAAATCTAGAGTGGAGAATAATTTTGGGAATTTTCACGTTTCTCGGCTGATCTTGTAGCGGAAAAAGGTTAGATTGTGGTGAGAGTTTAAGTTGAAAGTGAAAATTTGACAACAAACTTTTGCTAATCAGGACCTCCAAATTAATTTCTGCCAGTTAAAGCCTTTGCTGATTGATTTATAGGAGAACACTATTACAGTGCCCATCTCTATATGGATCCAAATTTTGAGTCTTTACTACTGGCCCGTTTCTTACTTGAAATCTCTACTTCAAGGCATTTAAAACCGGATGTAGTTATTAATTTTAATTGTGATATGATTATCTTCACCCAAAACCAGTTGTAGCTGAAAAAAGGGTGGTAAAACTCTTGCTTTTCGAATAGGAAATATGGAGGCTAACAAAGTGGTCAATGCATGAATTAGTTGATGGTTATATCGTTGCGATCGATATTTACCAAATTTTGATTTTGAGAAGATTAGAAGGACCTTTAGACATCTGAATCTCCGATTCTGTTGATCCAAAAAAGGAGAAGAAAAGACTCACAACATCATTAACCAAAAAAAGGGGGTTATAAAAAATTTAAATACCCTTTATGCTCATTAACTGTAATCCCAAATTTAGAACTTAACATGAAATTAAGAGACAATCAAACTTGATAATTTGTTCATGACCTTGAGACCTTCAAGGGTAGAGTTAGCGAGCGCGAGTATATTATACGGTGGCATTTTTTTTTTTTTTTGAAAGTAAGGTGGAAATTTAAATCGTAGTAGTAAATAATGTATAAAAAAACTATCATATGTAGAAACATTTACCAAATTCATCACTGGAAAAGTAGTGGTCCTTCCTTTAGAGACATATAATACATTATATAGATTATCCTGGATCTCCATTTCCAGTTAGTACAAAATTAAGATAAAAAAGGGACGGACTGATCATTCATATATAAATCAGAAACCGAATATGAAGAACATACCACACACTCCAACCCCACATTCCGTGTACACTTCCCTTTCATTAAACCAGATTTATCCACAGCTCCATCGCAAACGCTCCAGTGGAGCGCGGAGAATTAATCGAGGATGTTTTGGAGCCGGATCGCGGATGACCTAGCAAGGAACTCAAGGGAGCTTATGGTGTAACAAACCTTTCGGGTTAAGACTACAGAGAATAAAAAACCTAGTCTAGTTACTTTCGGTAGCTATATTGACCTCCTCGATAACTGTTGCCAATCCGCCAGTAGATAATATCCTAAATCAGAAGGCAGCACA